AAGATACGATAATGTACGATAAATTCAACTCCATATCTGTTTCTATGTTTTTTTAAACGAAGAATTTCAGGTACTCCGTACTTTTGACGATACTCTTAGCGTTGGTCTGACCGAGGCGATGGACAAAGGACCGGTTACTATCCATAAAAGAACTTTGGTAAGTATTTTTTGGTCTTAGTTTTTACACTTTTTATACATTCTTATAGTTTGTTATTTATTGTAAGGGAAACAAAGGATTTTTGTACCCACATTTCTATTCTCAAACTCGATGTACCCGATGTACCTTCAGGTCGATAGAGTAGAAAAACGCCCAGATGGCCTTTTGACCATCAAGACCAATACTGGAACCATTGATGAAGTAGAAACCTTGATTTGGGCAGTCGGACGAACTCCGCTCACTGCAGATTTGCATCTCGATAAGGTCTGTTTTCATTCACAATTTAGCTTCTCTTTGTAGATGTTATTTTTTCAAGGTTGGCGTAAAAACAGACGAAAAAGGAAATGTGATTGTTGATAAATACCAGAACACTTCCAATCCTAGTATACAATGTATAGGTGATGCTGCTGGAAAGTTTCTGCTTACACCAGGTGAGAAAATTATTTGAAGAAACTGCTCTTGGGACAAATGTTGATTCTTTTGATCTAATGATTGCAAATTTTTGTATATTAGTTTTGAAATCACTGCTTATTTTTATGCTGGAAGTGTAAGCTTCACCTGGTTTCAGTTGCCATTGCTGCTGGTCGCCGTCTTTCTCATCGCTTGTTCAATAATGAAACGTCGAACTATCTACCTTATGAGAATATTGCCACAGTAGTATTCAGCCATCCAACCTTAGGAACTGTAGGGCTCACGGAAGGTTTGTTTCCATTTTCGATGTGTACCAGTCATTTCATTTGATTTTTTAGCCGAAGCTATCAAGAAGTATGGAAAGGATCAGATAATGCTATATAAGTCCAAGTTCAATCCTATGTATCATGCTGTTACGAAGCATAAGGAATCTTGCATCATGAAGCTAGTTTGCGCTGGACCTGAAGAGAAGGTTTGCTTGCAATTCTGTCGATAATTTGAATGAAATCCTGTCGATATTTTGAATATCCTCCTTATCTATATTCATTACTGTATGAAATCCTCTATATTGGGACTGACGAGCATTGTTTCGAAAGCAA